GAAAGAGGCCAAGTTGGGGAGGCATGAGGTTGGGGAGGCTGAGCTGCGCTGGGAGCAGTGGTAAGAAAACGACTGTAGAAAACATGGTGGAAGATTGTCAAGGTTTGGATTTGGGGGCAAGAGATAAAGAAAAGCAGGTAACTCTCAGGTTTCAAGATCGAAAATGCTATTCTGAAAACTTAGAATGGTGATTCTTTGCTTGCCAAGCTCCTGTTCTGTATAAGTCGGTTTACAGTAGGGAATTTCCAAGTACCCATTCCAGGTCGGGCGAGTCAGAGATGCTCAGTGGGGTTTGGCGAGGCCAGGCCTTGGCGGTGGTAGCAATGCGCTCACGTTCTTCAGGGGGTGTTAACTCCTTTCGTTGTGTTGTTCTCCCACAGAGTTTTAGATTTGGTGTGGAAATTGCCTATGTGGGAGCTACAATCTTGGATGTCTGCAAGCGAGTAAGAAAAAAGACTTTGGTTGGAGGCAACCATCAGAGTAAGGCTTTCAGTTACTCGTATTTGTTACACAGATTAGCTTCCCTCTTTATCTGGATTTGCCCTAGAGTTTGTGCTCTCTCCCAAAAGGTGGCATTCGAGGTGACACGAAGGGGCAGGTGGCCCTGCTGTCCCGGACCAACGCCAACGTGTTTGATGAGGCCGTCCGGGTGACAGAAGGAGAAGTGCCTGCCCGGATCCACCTGATAGGGGTAGGAGTGCTTTTCTGTTCTCTGCTCTCGCCTGGAAACATTGCCGACACACAGAGCCGTTGAAAATGGCCCACATATCCAGGCTTACTCTGCACACAGGCATTTGGGTTTGTGACTGTTCCTGAGCCTGCGCTGTGAAGTCCTTCCCCCTGGCCCTTCTGGTCCAGCGAGTCCTATAAAGTCTGGCCCAGCAAGGACTGTGGACCTTTTCCTCCGTTATTTAAAAAAAAAAAAAAGAATGCTCTTCTAACCTGTGTGCATGCGGGGCTGCCGGCTGCCTGTGAGTGTCCTGGGGTGTGATGATCAGTCGTGTAAGACAAGCGAGGTGAGGGCACAGCTGGGAGGTGCCCGGGGCTCCGGATGCAGAGGGGAGACTGGTTCTAGCTCTGCTTCTTCTCTAACTGTGTGTGGCTTGTGGCAGGAGACTCAGCCCCTCTGTCTCTGGGACAGCGACACTGCCTGTTTCACAGGGAAGCTAGGAGGGTTGAGTGACATGTGTATGGCGTTTTTAACTCTTGGAAGCAGAGTTTTATGTCTAAGAGACATTCACCCATTCATGTATGAAAAAATATTTTCCAGGGCCTACTATGTGTAGGCCCTCAGTACATACAGTAAGTGAATCAAAATAAAAAATTTCTGATGCTCCTTTTTTTAATTTATAAAGATTATGTAACCAAGTTACAGAAGTTTTGGAAATTAAAAGGAAAAAAAATCACCCTTAATCTCAGTGTTTTATGTAAAAATTCTCATTTTTGCTAATTATTTATGACTTTGGCCTTATAGTTGTGTATTTTTACACAATTGCATTTAGAGTGTACAAAAAAGAATATGTGTTTTTTACTCCACCCACGAGCATATTTTCTCCCATGTCACTGTTTGAGTGACTTTACAATACTTTCTCAGTGGATGTAGCATAGTTTAGCCATCTTCGTTATTGTAAGGAAATGGTACTTTTGGAGCATCTTTCACGCCAGGCAGGATGTGAGCTTGTTCTCTCCCCTCTCTCACTCCCACATGTGTCATCCCGCTTGATCACTTCTGGTTACGTTATAATCTGTACTGTCTTATTTTGGTCTCAGTTTGATGTTAATATTTTATGTGTCGCTTCCCCAAATGATCTAAACCCTTGGAGTGTGGAGCCTTTGTCCTGGGCCCCAGTCAGCGCTCAGTACACGCTTCCCGGTAGAGGTGGGCTGAACTGGGAGGGTCAGGCCCTCTCCTCCAGGAGCTGACGTTTTAACAGATCCAGTACCTGTAGACAGTCTAGTTCTTTCCTCAGAAGAAACAGCAGCCAGTGTTTGTGCTCCACACTCAGTATTCGGGTCTCATCTGTCTTCTTTGCTGCAGCTGTTTTATATTCATGGAAGGTAGATGATTTAAATTGCCTTCTTTGACATGAAAGCAACATGCAGCTAGTTCTTGCCTTTTTTTTAAACGTAGGAGAAGTCTGAGGGAGCAACCAGAGCTTAGCACTGGGTCATCCCGAGTTTGCAGGCTGCATTGTAGCCTCTGCTTTTGTGCGTAATGAAGGTTCCCACTCGCTGTCTTTATGCTTTAGGTGCAATTTGGGATCTGTTTCCAAAAAAAGAGTCTCATTTCAAAATCCCACCTCTACGTTTGTTTTACTTTGTTCTGTTGACAACAGTAACAAAAATAAAACAAAATTAAAAACAAAAAATCCCACGGAAAAACTTTTTCAGGGGATTAAATCATTTGGATTGGACAGAATCATTGATATTTGGACGCTTCTTCAGCCGGAGGAAGAACGGAAGAGACGTGAGTGTCCTTGCTGCATGGGGTGGACGCAGGCACACAGTGGCGGGGTGGAGGCGGGCGGGCAGGTTCTGAGTCAGTTCCTGTTTGCTCTGGAGGAGCCGGTGTGGCTTCTTCTCATCAGCGGTGGGATGCCAGAGACCTCCTGTTTTCAGAGGCACCGATGGCTCTTTCCAGACCCTTTTCTCAGGAGTCTAAGTTTCTCTGTCACGCTGGCCCCTAGGCCGGCTTCCCCACCATCTTTCTGTCTGCCCGGGCGACCTCACACACCGAGACTTCTGCATGGGCCCCATGTGATCCTTTCTAACTATCTGTAGCGCTTTCATTTTTTCATTACTGCACAATTTTGAATCCCTGAGAAGCAGACAAGGATGTCAGCAGGGCTCTTGACCCTGAGTTTGGAGCTGGAGGGGCTATGGCACAGGTCACTGCGCTGACTTGCCCAGGCACCCGCGGCAGGTTAGTGATGCCGTCGAGCCTGGACCTGGGTCTCCAGCCCTGAGACCATTCGTTTATCATGTGGTCAGTTAGGAGTGCACGTCGGCGCAGCCTGTGTCACCTTGACCCCTACGCGTGTTCCCTCTAGGAAACCTCGTCATTAAAGACAGGTTCATCAGAAGGTGGGTGCACAGAGAGGGCTTCAGTGGCTTCAAGCGGTATGTGACTGCGGCCGAGGACAAGGAGCTAGAAGCCAAGATTGCAGTCGTGGAGAAGTACAACATCCGGATTCCAGAGCTGGTGGAAAGGATAGAGAGATGCCACATAGAGGACTTGGACTTTGCAGGTGAGGGACACGGGGGCTCTTCACTTCCCCCTGGGGGTGGGGGCAGCCGGCCTCCAGTGTCTCTTGCCAGCGTGGACATCATGGGTGACCAGGGGCGGCTGTGTCAGTGGAACAAGGCTGCTGTTCTCCTGTGGCCCCTTTATTACTGTTCTACTTCCAGCCCGTAGAAGGGGCTCCCGAGTCCCATCTCTGCTACCAGCTGACCCTTGGCAAACCCCCAGCCTCTTCTGGGCCTCTGTCCCCTCGTGCGTAGGAAGCAGGCGGTGGGCAGCCGCCATGAGCTCTGGACTGGAACTCGGCCGTGTTCGCAACATCTGCAACGAATTTCTACTTTCCCCTCGTCTTTTTTTGTCTCTCCCTTTTTTTTCTGACTGAGGTTTCCTCTTTCCCCCTTTTTCTGCAGAGCCGCACCCAGGCAAGAAAACATAATTAGCATTTTGGGAGTGGTGGGAAGTGTAAGCTTTTCTCCTCTTTCCTTTCTTTCCCAGTCACCCCCTCATCTGCCCGTCCACTGTGTTTCTGTTCCAGAGTACATCTTGGGCACTGTGCACAAGGCCAAAGGCCTGGAGTTTGACACTGTGCATGTCCTAGATGATTTTGTGAAAGTGCCTTGTGCTAGGCACAACCTCGCTCAGCTGCCCCACTTCAGAGTCGGTAAGGAGACTGCTGGCACCTCACTGCAGGGCTGCCTTGCTTTTTCTTGCACGGTGTGGCTCCTTGGAAGGATCCTTCTAGAACAAGAAAATCCTCCTCCTCCTAAATTTGTTGTTCTTAGATGGTGTGTTTAGAAAAACTGAGCCTCCAGGGTCCACCTCCCTCAGGGCTGCTTGGAGGGCAGCTGTGTTTATTGCATCCTGTTTAACCTGCACCAGCTCTTCAGCTGTGGGTTTTTCCCCATCAGACAGAAGCTCTAAAACAGTTTACCTACTCACCAAGGTGTTTTTTCTTTAATTAATTCTCCTTTTTATTAAAGAGGCCCGAAAATCATACAAGGGATTAGTGTAAGCACTCTATCATTTGTCTGCTTTTGTATCAGTTTATACTCAAGGCTACCTGTTGAACTCTAAGCACCTAAGCATCAGTGCTGTTGTTTTGGTTTTAAGTCTTACAATAAAACCATTTGAAGTTTTCCCACAAACAGACAAACAAAAGCTCTCTCTTAGTCATGGAGTCAAAATGTGGGGGTTCTGTGCCCCTAGTCTGTTAGAGTTCTGTTTGTTTTCGGAGTTGGTGTTTGTAGGAAAATTTTGCTTATAAAGCCAGCAAATCCTGAGGGTTTTTTGGGGCGATGGGGAGTAGTAAACTTTTTTGTTGGTAGTGTTGGGTCTTCGTTGCTGTACGAGGGCTTTCTCTAGTTGCGGTGAGCAGGGGCTGCTCTTTGTTGTGGTGCACAGGCTTCTCATTGCAGTGGCTTCTCTTGTTGCGGAGCATGGGCTCTAGGCACACAGGCTTCAGTAGTTGCAGCACGTGGGCTCAGTAGTTGCAGCACAGGCTCTAGGGCGTGTGGGCTTCAGTAGTTGTAGCACGTGAGCTCAGTAGTTGCGGCATGTGGGCCCTAGAGCACGCGGGCTTCAGTAGTTGAGGCATGTGGGCTCAGTAGTTGTGGCGCGGGCTCTAGGATGCACAGATTTCAGTAGTTGTGGCGCATGGGTTCAGTAATTGTGGCTTGTGGGCTCTAGAGCACAGACTCAGTAGTTGTGGTGCATGGGCTTCAGTAGTTATGGCTTGCGGGCTCTTGAGCTCAGGCTCAGTAGGTGTGGCGCATGGGCTTAGTTTCTCCACGGCATGTGGGATCTTCCCGGACCAGGGCTCAGACCCGTGTCCCCTGCATTGGCAGGCAGATTCTTAACCACTGTGCCACTGGGGAAGACCCGAATAGTAAATGTTTAGATAAGAATATAAATTTCTGTAAGCAGGCTTCTGTGTTGATATTTTTTTTCCCTTTGCTTTCTTCAGAGTCGTTTTCTGAGGATGAGTGGAATTTACTGTATGTAGCAGTAACTCGCGCCAGGAAGCGTCTCATCATCACCAGGTCACTGGAGAACATCTTGACTTTGGCTGGGGTAAGACGACAGCTCGAGTTAATTTAACAACGTCCGGATTTTACCGGGTTTGAATAAGGGATCAGCCAACCCGGGGCCTTCGAGGCTTTTGGTTGGGGGTCTGCATCAGAAAAGGGGCTTCTCTTTCTTGGGTTCTTGGAGGCCGATTGCCAGTGGAGGAGGGTCCGTCTTAACCACAGAAACAAAAACCTGGGTTCTTTTCTACGTTCTTTCCTGAGTCAGTTTTAAAAGTTCTTTCTAAAACACTAACCGCGCCTCACGTCTTTGGTGAGTTCTCCCTGCTCGGTTAGCGCTCAGCACTCTTCGGGAA